GTGTATAAATTTGAATTAGGTATGAAAAATGCATAAATAATTTTTAAACATTGTAATGTACTAAATTTGCTGTACTGTAAATAAAATAGTATTAATAACGAATGTTAAACCAATTAAGTGAATTAATGGAAAAACTCCCCAAGCTGCATAACCTTAAAAATGGACGATTTTACATGCCCAAGATGCAGGACTTCAAAATTTCAAAATCCATCGCTAAAAATGATGGTAAATGTTTGTGGGCATGGTCTATGTGAGAGTTGTGTAGACTTGCTGTTTTTAAAAGGCTCAGGATCTTGCCCAGATTGTAAAATACCTCTTGAAGGAACAACTTTTCGTGTTCAACTCTTCAAGATGCTAACGTCGAAAAAGAAGTAGATATTAGGAAGAGAGTCTTACGGGATTTTAATAAAAAGGAAGAAGACTTTAATTCGCTGGGGGAATATAATAATTACTTAGAAGAAGTAGAGACTATTATTTACAATTTAACCCATAATATTGATGTTGTAAATACTAACAAAACCATAGAACAGTATAAACGTGATAACAGGGAACAGATATTGAAAAGCAAAGGTAAATTAGGTAGAAATGAATATGAGTTGGAGGAAATGTTAGAAATTGAAAAACAAGAAGATGAGGTGAGGAAGAAACAAATGCAATTAGAAGAGGTGGAAGCTAAAAAGAAAAAATACGTGAAAAAGAAGCCCTAATAGATGAATTAATGTTTTCTAATGCAGATGCTAAAAACATTGTGGATACTTTTGCTCAACAGGCACAAAAGGCGAAAGAAGAAAGGGCAAAACCACCTGCACCAAGGGTAACACAGTTTTCTACCGGCATACAATTTGGGAGACAAACACAACCTACATTCATGCCTCTCCCAGTGGAAGAAGGACCTTTGTATAGTTACAAACCGTTTACTTTTCCTACGGATGGCCCTCTACCTCCCAGTTATCAAGATATAATTGAAAGAGGTTTTATTAACCATGTTCGTGTTGAAACAGAACAGGAGAGAGCTGGAGGGTTTAGGTCAACCATAGCATGTACCAGAGCACTTCAAGAAGCCCTAATGGGACTTTTTCATACCAAGAAAACTTCTACTGTACATTGAATATTTATTTGGTAATATTTATAAATTAAAACTTTTTTTGCATAAGGAACTTTTTGCTTTAATTTGTTTAAGATTTTTTTGAGAATTTTATTATAAAAAAAATATTTCCTTTGCAAAAATAGATATTCGCTATAATATTCTTATTAAGTAGAGAAAGTATTTATTAGGTATTATTATTATTACATACAAATTAATATTTTATTATGTAATGATACACATCGATTTCTATATTTTCTTAGTGATAAAAAAAGGGTGAAAAAGTAGTACTGTAAATAATAAGTTTTAAACTTCACTAAATTTTTTTTATATTGTATATACAATCCAAGAAAATCAAAAAGAAATTATAATCAACTTTCCGTAAAAAAATTATGTCATAGCTTAAAAAAAAGTCTTTCCCGTTTTCATTACTATCCAGCTCTAGATTATTTCTGAAATATAATTTATTACCCATTACCAATTACTGAGCCAGTTACCTGCTTTCTAAATGCTAAAAGTCATTTGGAAAATTATTAATTTCGAGAAAAATAGTACCACTAGCATTACTTCATTCCCAAAAAAAAGTAATGTGTCTATTTCTATACAAACTTAAAACAAAAGCAACGATATATACATTAAACATTTATTAAATCATTAATCAATGGAAAACATTTTTTAAATGATTAAAAATAAAATAATCACTAACATAAAATAGCACCATCAGATATCTCCGATTATTATACATACAATTTTTAAATTTAAATGTATATAAACAAACACCTTATTATAATTTTTTTTAAGTGATGCAAAACCATTGAATACATGTTTATATTTATAGGTATAAAAAATACAGGATATTATATAAAGCTTATTAAATATATTTAAAATGGCATATATAGCGGCTATATTTGGTCATATTAAAAACATTCAGGCAATATCTTAAATTGATTATTTTAATTCTTTATTTTTATGACTAAATATTTTACTACAAAATCCATATAGTCTAACCTATTTATTTAATGAACATAGATAACCGAGATATAATTACAACTTATTTCAATTATTAGAAAAACCTTTACAATTTCAGTGTTTATATAGTCTGAGATTACTTTGCCTTTGCTTTGAATGGTGGAAAAGTGTGCTTTATATGTATACAAGAAAACCTAAATTTAACATATTGCCTACCACAGGTTTTATATACTATAACACATACCATATGTATAGCGCCAAGTGTGGCCAGTTAGAAAAAAAAAAAGAGCGCCGGGGGGGAACTAGGATCAAATGAGAGAATAAGGACACCCAGCGAACATAGGGACAGGCTGTCTATGCCCCACAAGCCAGCTACAATACACTCACACTGTTACGTCCATCTCGCCTGCTCAATCGGTATTTGATAACAGTTGGCAACATTAGCCATTTTACACATGGTATAGTTCCTCGATATTTTGGGAAACAAAAAATGGTAAAATATGCCTTTATTAATAGGAGTTGGATGAACTACTTGGCAGTGCGGGGTATTTTATACAAGTATAAAGCATGAACGAAACTTAATTTTTTTAAAATAATTTATAGGACAGAGGCTTAATACCCAAAGGTGAGAATAAACGAAACTTGCCTCAATAACCATAAGTTTATATTAGAGAAACATATGAGATAATAACAAAGCAGTTATACTAATGTTCCTGGGTGGAGAACTATGTCACAACTTTTATAGGCTTGATACGATTGAGACATGTTACCACCCCAGATAGACGTGCTACAATTCTTGTACGATGTTAAATGGCATCATGAAAATTGGTCGTCTGTTTTAGCAGAGGTCTAGAAACAGATATACCTATTATTGTAACCTGGGAAAGTGAACTTTAATAAAACCCTTGGTAGCCAATATGTCAACTTAAAACAATTATACAATAGCTTCGGTGAATAAAATACATGTATTAATAAATTTGACAAAAATAATTAACACTAATTTTTATTTACATTCAGATTAAACCTTATTTCAGTTTCCAAGGATCACTTAAACAGTATATCTAAAGAAATAATATTGAAACACTTTTTTTACTAATTATTTCCAACTTAAAATTACAATAAAACAATTGTGACATATTATTTTTTATTATATAAAATATTGGTGGCCACATCCGTATTTAGAGGCAGTAAATGTTTTCATACTCATTTTATTCTATCTATATGTACTTATAACATGTTTGTAAGTTGGTGCCCTTAATAATGTTAAAATAAATATACATTTAGTTTAGGCAGATATTTTGTTGCCTCTCATCATTTATATCTTAACGCGATTGTTTTGCTGCACCTTGTTAACTGATACCTACTTAAAGAGGGCTCTTGTTTTATGTCCAAAATTTACGTGGAAAATATATCAACTCAAAAAGTCTAAGGAGGTATGATAAGTGTACTAATGAGATGTGGTGTCAACCCTTTTTTCCTTTTTCCCCCCCTTCCATTTTTTTTTTTTTTTTTTTTTCCCTTTTTTTTTTTTTTTTTTTTTTTTTTCCCTTCTTTCTTTTAAAAAATTTAATTTGGAGGAACCCCCCCCCTCTCCCCCCTTTTTCACCCCCTTTTTTTTTTTTTTTGAGGGGGGCAGTTTTTTTTTTTTTTTTTTTTTTTCTTTCTTTTTTTATGGTGGTTTTTTTTTTTGCCCGCACAAACTATTTTGAATTCCAAAGTAGTCCTTTGTTTTTAAGTTTTTGAAGCAAATTGGAATCAGTTTTTAGTTGTTTTGGTAAGTTGTTATAATTCTCAATTTGTTTGTCTATTATTGTTCACATGTTTGTATGCCATTTAAACATTATTTGTGTGTTATTTGGACCTAATTCTATTTCTGGTGAATAGACTCAAAAGTCCAAAACCACAAACAATTATAAACGAATAAATATTATTGACTCATTCAATTAGTGTAACATCAAACTTGAGACATGCAGTGTATAATAAAAGAACTACCTTTAATGCCCGTGTTGACAAAAAAAGTCCTTAGGTAGAGACTAAAAGTGTCAAAAATTAAAATACAGTATATGACATCTGCCATAAAGTTAATTATTTTTATAGTTTTATGCAATGTTGATGGCAATATTATGATAATATTCAATTAATATATATGGCTTCGTGGTTCCAGTAGTAAAGAACACTTGCCTATCATTCCGGAGTCCCGGGTTCGATCCCCAGCCAAGGAGCCGAGATTTTTCCTAAAGCAGACATTAATCCTAGCATACTCAGATATTGGGGTCTCTGTTCTCTGAACGTGTAGCACCATATCTCGCACAAGGTACCATAAGATACCTTTAGGGATACAGGAGGGTTGTTTTACTTGTGGTCTTTAATACAAAGTACATTTTACTATTCTTTTAAATGTGTTCATTGCCAAGCGTTACACTCAACATATGGATGTTGATATACCGATGTAATAGATGGACTCGTGGTCCTCCATTCATTGTCAAGTTACTCACCAATCACTTCAAAATCATATGCCTATAAATATCAATAATAAAATATATCTTTATTAGTTTTAGCTAAATTTAGTATATGACAAATACAATACGAAAAATATAATCACAAAAGACGTGACAGGTATAAGTTACAACTAGTTCTTATGAAAGTTTAATGTGATTTATATAAAAAATTTACAATTTGTGATCAGGTAATGTGGAATGTAAAATCATTGTATTTAGCCGATTAGTGAAACTACCATACCCATATCCCATCGACATGTTTAAAAAACAATGTAACAGAATGACTAGCCATTGCTATTAATATAAGAGTAGTTTTGTTATAAAAAATTATTATAAATAATTTAAGAAAAGCAATTCTAGGAAACTCAAAAAAAAAAAAAGTCGTGATAAAATTGGAAAAAAATAAAAACATTAAGAAAAGGAAAACCATCACAATAGGCAATATCTTTAGTCTCAAAAATATAACAAGAATAAATTGGCGTGTTCTAATGGCTATATGCCAAAGCGACAATTCATCAGTTGATAGTAGTCGTTCAGTACACATTGCATGTAGTGTGTTCCCTTGTTCCACTGTTTGTTTTCTATCGTTTCCTCCACTCAACACTTTTACTGACTTTTAAATGTCCATTTGATAAAGTTGTGTCGTGTGTAGTTTCATACATTTAAAATTCTATTGACAAAAACGAGTACCACAGCGAAACATATTTATGTTTATAAACAACTTTTAAAAATAAAAGAATTTATAAAGATATTAATTTTTCAATTATTTGTTTTACGTTGTTTTCTTTTTAAACGGTTTTGTGTATTAAAATTTTATTAATTATTTACCTGTTTAGTTTTTTTTATTTTCTGTAAATAAGAAATTATTTATAATTAAAACAAAATCGTAGTTGAAAAAGTGTAATAATTAGGGAATATAATATTTAAATGTATGAAAACAGAACGTTTAAAATGTAATTTAAAATTACAAATACTAGGCTTCCGAGAGCATAGTTTCGGAAGGAAAAAAGTTCGCACTAATTAAACCATAGGATATCAAAATTACTAAAGCAATGGGTTTATGAGTCTGTTATACGACAACGGTGGCAGTACTGCACGATCAACAATATGTGGATGGTGCGGTGCAAGGAATTAAGATGAGTAAGAGAGCAATATGGAATGCTTTTATATGCATATGTTGTGCCTCTTCATATTTCTTCACTCGACTATATTAGTAATGGTAGCACAGTTGGACGGGAAAGTGCCAACGTAGGAGCACATGGTTGTGTATCGTTTTTTTCAATATATATCCACTTCTGCAAAGCTTCAGATTTTGGATTTGAGGGTTATCTAATTTATGTGATTTTGTTTATTAATCTCGACTTTTTACTTACCTACATCAAAACATAAAAAACTCTCCCTAATTTTTAATCATTAATAACATTTTTATTTCTTTAGAAAAAAATATAATGTATTGTAATTTTTCTATCATTCGAGCAGAAGTCTGTTTAAATAAATGTTGTCAATATTCAATCTATAACATAAACCACTTATTTTACAATAATACAATATGTTTATTGGATAATTTTAAAGCGATATATAACACATTTTTGAATTAGTAGGTATTCACATTAGATAAAATTTTCTTATTAAATATTAATTGACACTCTTTATGTTAAGTAATTATAATAAAAAAGGATAACTTTTTTATGGGACTACCTTTGAGAATTTTATAAAAATTAGGTGTGATGTAAAGATTGAATTATAAAAGAAATAGTTAAGAACAAAGGTATTCCAGTAAAAAATACATCCTGTGTATGGTGCCCAAGTATATATAAATATATAGTATGGCAGTGCTTGCAACACAATTTCTATCATATTATAGTTCTGCTGAAACGCATACTATGATTGAGGTTATGTTCTTAGTAATCTCTAAAAAAACATACAAAATACCTTTACAGTTTTTAAAGGAACCACATATGTTGTTTATTTCGATAAAATCTCAACCACTGAAGTTTCGGTAAACAAACTAACATATAAATTGACTTGAAATTAAGGTTTTCTATAAAATTAGCATACTTATTAGCTAGCAGAATATTTGAAATATATTATTCCTTATTTGGAAAATTCATAGATTGGACCGTATGTCTTTTTTCCTCTCATCCCTGTAATTGGTTTGCAGATGCTTGTCAAATTTGCAAAATTAGTAAATAGATTGATAGGTATATGCTTGAAGTTACAGTATTTTTCTATTCTATAATTTGAATACAGATTATTATTATTATTAATTCAATTTAAACATTTATATAAACCTCGTATGTTTGATATAGCCCCTATCAAAACTGCAGAAAATTTTCGGTAGACAATAAAGTAATTCATGGTGGCAGTGTTACAAGCAGATTATAAAACACTCTTTACAAGTGACTTGAACTGAAATTCAACTACAACCAGTGCTATTCAGAAACTGTGATCCAAAGCCTAATCTAGATTCAGTTTAATCAAGAAATCGATTTAATTAGTTTATAGTATTCAACATGCCGCTACTTAAATGCTCCAGTTAGTCACTTTTCTATCGATATTGATTTTATTATACAATAGGCACTAGTATAATCGCTCACACTGAATTAACTGAATGTGACATATTAGTGACATTACTATCTTGAAATAGTTCAGCACAGAGAATATCACACTCTAAACGCAGTAGCGAAGGTTTTGCCTGTGTTTATTTACTTCCAGGTTTTGCTTTTTACATAAAGCATTGTCTGTCATTGTAAACATCTTTAAAATTCCAGGTAAAATGTAACTTAGTTTTTAAAAGAACCATGTGCGAGCACACAGTTCACTAATTACTCTTTCCATATTCTCTTTAACGTGACTATGTAGATTTTGAAATAACTGCAAAAAAATTCACATACCAACCATCATTTTCGGTTCACTTATTTTAACCACAATCAATTGAAATCTAGAAGCCTAAATTTGAAATTTCAGTATTGATAAGCTCAGGTGAAGGAATAACATATATATTTTCTGATTAATCTTAACACATTCACTGCTGTCGTGTATTTTCCTTATATTTGCCACCAAGCCGAGGCTGTCCCAAAATTTCCCACCAGGCCAAGTGTACCTTTAGGTACACTTTCAAATGTGTTAAACACAAATCAAACAATTAATATCTTCATCAAAACTGTGAAAAAGGTGTCTGGGTCGTATAGACAGAATTACAAATTGCGAAAAAATGCAGTAAGTGTGGCATGCAACTGAGTTCTCTGAATGTCGATCGATCTCCTATGGGTATTATAACTATTATACACTTAAAATGCATTCACAGTTCTGTAGGAACAAACATGTGATTCGGTATAGACTGCGTCAGCGTACCCAAGAACAATACATTCTTATTCGACCCGGAAGGTGTCTGGAGAAAACTTTTCCCGGTCTTAAACGTGTTCATATTTTCCCAAAATTTCTGATTAATCTTAATATTTTCCCCAAATAGTAAGGTCAAAATTCTAAATAAAAAAAATATAATACACGGTGGATTATTTTAAACAGCCTAGTTAAATATCTCGAAAACTAAGCATTACATAATTGAAAATTTGTAAGAGTATCTTTAGCATGTTTAGAGGAATCTGTTTTTTTTTCATAGGTAACGGTTTCAAGGTCATATTTTTTAACAGAACATGTTTTTCTTCTGGAATTTAATAAACCACAAAATTTTACATAAAAATGATTCGTAACACCTTAAATTGACGGAGTTTTGAAGATTTCCAAGATTACGAGCTGTTAGTGTATGTGGTCGCTTCCATCTCAGCCCAAAGCAGAACCACGGATGAAGATTTGAGGGAGCGATGGCGCCATGATTTTTTTGTTTTTAATTCTTTAAAACAAAAAAATAAACATAAGGTCGCTGCTCTCCCAAGTCCCCGTCCTTTGTTCTGGGTTCGGCCAAGAGGTGAGCAACCACACACACACACACACTGACGACTACATGTACACCACAGACTAATATACACCTCGTGATCCTAAAAATTTTCAAAAATATTTAATTTTGTAAGTAGCTCAAAAATTATTGATTTATGTCCGTGCGTTAAACAATTTTTATGTAAAATCATCTATCTAACGAATTTCAGAAGAAAAAATGCCCCTTCTGAATTAAAAACAAAGCTGACCATGGAAATGACTTTGAAATCATTACTTACAGAAAAACTGACACCGCCATGTTTTTGCGTTGTCAAAATTCTAAATATTTTATTTGAAAAATTTTTTAGTATCACACTTCCTTTTTGACATATTTGACTGGAAGAGTTTAAAATTAACCACTGTATACAGAGTGATTCCAAATTGTGGTACAAAAATTGTAGAATCCAAAAAAATAATTGAATCAGTTATTTGTTAAACATCAGTTTAAGAAATAAGCCAGTTTTAATAATTTTTTGGAAATCGAAAAAAACCTCCTGTGGCCAGTGACTTAAGAGTATTTAAGCACTATACTGCTTATGACAGACATCGAGTCGACTTTATGGAATATGCTGAGTTATGGTATTTCAGCGTCAATTGATGACCGACTTTACAAATTCCCATGTTTACCTCATTTCGACCTAAAATTGATTTAGGGTGTTTAAGAAATAACCGATTCAATTTTCTCGAATTCTACACTTCCTGGTGTAATTTTGTACCGTAATTTTGATTCACCCTGTACAATTGTGGAAAGTTGCTAATTAACTTTAGATCATTTTATACAAAAATGAGAA